AAAAAAAAAATTAGTAACAGGATAAAATAGTAATGAAAATGTTGAATTAAAGAGTTTTAAAAAAATCTTGAACAAGGATTGGGAGGGAGGTAGGGTGTTAAAAATCTTCTAAGGGCCTTGATTTGATTGGAGGCAGGTAAAGATACTATCTTATAACATCTTATAATAAGCAAATAGACTTATAATAAGCAAATTCAGCCAATCCAAAAGAAAGTAAGGAAAGGGAGGAAAAGGAAAATAAAATCTAGCTACATGCTGTTAATAATAAACACATCTACAACAGAAGAAATCATTAAACTTTAAACTATGGAAAATTATATACCTGGCATCAAAATGCAGCTGATTACAGACCTCAAAGTAAAAAGCATTACTGGAGATAAAGAGGATCAGTACATATTCAACCTGATCAATTCTCTAGAAATATTATAATTCCAAACTTAAATTCATCTAACACAAAACCCTCAAAATACACAAAACAAAAATTGACAGACCTATAAGAAGAAATTAACAAATTACACAAAACAAAAATTGACAGACATATAAGAAGAAATTAACAAATCCACAATCAAGATTTTAATAAAAAATAATAGGTAATCATAACAAACTCTTTCAGGTAAACAATAAATTAAGTGAACTGAAAAAAAAGGTCAATAAGAATATCAGATAAAAAAAAGAATTTTAGATTAGAACATACTTAGCATATCTAACTGTACACACACACACACACACACCCCTCTCTCTCTCTCTCCACTCCCCCCCAAGTATTTTTAGCAGATTCATCACATTCTAGGCAATTATACAGGCAGGTGTCCAGAAATTAAAAAGAAAAACATCAGAATTCTTTGACTAAATGCAAAACATAATAAATAGTAATTAGGGAATACATAGAATTGAATGATAATAAAAATAATACATATCAAAATTTATGTGATAAAGCTAAAGTGAAGAATTTATGGCTCTGAATGCTAGCTACATTAGAAGAGAAGGGAGATGAAAAAACACTGTCTGAAACAGTGTTTCTACAGATGATAAATAAAACATACAATAGACTTACAGCCACTGGATCCTTCTGGTGAAGTTGAGCAGCTGTTACTTGTTTAAATCCCCCTGGGTAGCTGTCAAAAGAAGCAAACACATTAAAACTCAGTGTAGGCTATGGTACTGTATTCTTAAACTGATCATTCTTTTATAATGAGAAAATTTTAATAAATTATTCTTGTTTCTGGAAACTATGCTGTTCATTACTGTCTTAAAAATTAAGTAGTAACCGCTGTTCTCTTAAGTAGTCAACATTGCTTCAAGAAAAGTTCTACATCTTGGAAAAATGTCTTGGCTTAACTATATTTCTATTTAGATTTTAAGTTATCATTCATTCATTCCTTTATTATAAGGTAGTTTATCACTGCTTGACTTAAGATAGAAACAGCAATGAGCCAGAGTATTTTATGTTCCCTGCAAAAACACATAAATTGTCTGTATAAGCTAGGGGTTAGGTCTGGGGAAAATGGTGGTATACAACTTGGTTCTGAAGTCAAGTTCAAACTCTAAACAGGTAATGATCTTGTTTCCTCTTATTAGTTATTTAAAGGCCCCTAAGAGTTATATGTTGGCTCTAAATAATAAAATATTTCGTTGTGTTCAGATCAAACATTATATATAACATGGATAAGTTGGCAATTAAAAAATTGAAATAGTATTGGAGGGTTTTTCATTCATATTAATTCAATAAATATTTACTGAATTGTTATTCTGGGTATTGGGGATACACAAATATGACAGAATCCTGTTCTCAAGAAAAATGACTAAATAAATTCTCTTGACACTCTAGTAGTAAGCTGTATCTTTAACTTATGCCAATACCCTTTAGATGGCTAATGAGTTAGATGAGAAAGTTTAAGATGCACACATACCCAACTCACCTGACCCCTAAAAAAATTACAATTGAGGGCTGGCCCGGTGGCGCACTGGATAGTGCGCCGCTTGGGAAGCGCGGCGGC